AAAAAGGCGCCTATAGGTACCATGGATTGTGACTTGAAGCTGCTGCTACCTCTATGCCGTCGCAGACCATCGCCGCCGATGAACCCAAGGAAGCTGAAGGCTTCGGGCCATGGATGGTGGTGTCGAGGCGCAAGAACAGAGGCAACGGTAACATTCACAGGGACAAGACACTAAACAACCAAGGAAATTACAAAAAATAGTGAAAGGGAGTGGGCCCAATAAAGGCTCTGTTGCTGGACCTTCAAGCCATAATACCAGAAGAGGAAAGGAGGTTGGTTTGGGCCAGCCCAATAACACGAAACCACCTACACCTATAACTAAAGTTCAGATTTCAACGGACATTAATGCCGTTTGAATCGGACAAGAGAGACTCATCTCCTCACCCTCGAGCCTTGAGTCCTGACACTCTAGCAGAATCTAGCAAGATTCCTGAAGTTACAACCCCCCCCTATGGAGAAGTCACATCTCCTTCCCCAACCTGGCTTTGTCAACAGTCTTGTACGGGAAATCTCTGAAGCGTTTCCCCATTCAAAAGAAATTTCCAAACAAAAGATCTCACCACCCAAGAATGGCCCTTCCAAAGGAGAACGAAACTCTTCAACTTCACTTTCATCTGGGAGACTCCTACTGGACCGAACTAGATCTGGTGAAGTTTCTTAACCACCCCAATCCGACAATCCTTCCAGCAGAGAAACAAATTCCGATCAGTCTAATCTGGGCCAGACCAACAGCGGTCATCTCCGACGTTCAAATAGAAGATTTTCCACATCTCCTCATTCCTCCTCCGACCGAGACAGAAACCTCAATGACCGAGAGCTTCAAGAACCAACTCCTTGCAGATCTGGTAGACCAGGAGTTCAGGGAGGCAAGAGAAATAGCCGTCGCAGAAGTCGCAGCCCCAACTGCAGATCCCTGGGTCACACATCTGATGAAAAGGATAATATTTACTCCAGATCTCCCATTCGTGAAAACAATAGTGATTCCAAAGTTTGTGAAGGAGACTCGCGTTATCGCGCAATCCTACATAGAGCGCGTTACAAATCAAATGGAATACAACGTGGTGGTTCTCCCTCATCACCACGAGGAAGCCAACATGATTTGGAAGATGACAGATGGAACGGTGACTGCAGTTCCTGAAATAGCCAAGTGGTGGCTGGGGAGCGGAAATCCAACTCCTTCTGATATGAAGATACTCATCTGGAATTGCCGTGGGGCAGCTAATAGCGAATTCAAAAGGGTTTTTACTGATTTGGTTCGCACCAACAGACCCTCCATTTGTTTCCTTGCTGAAACAAAAATTTCTGGCGATATAGCCAATCGTGTTGTGGCTTCCCTTGGGTTTGGTGGTTCTCACATCATCAATGCTCGAGGCTTTGCTGGTGGACTTTGGATGCTTTGGGACCCTGATCAAGTGGACATCAACGTGCTGCCTCATGGGGAACAAGCCATTCATGCCGTTGCTAAGGTACGTTCTAGTCATTTTGATTTTAATTGGCTTATCTCGGGCATTTATGCTAGTCCTAGGTTGCAGGATAGGTTGTTATTGTGGGATGAGCTTAAAACCATTAGTGATAATTATTCTGGGCCTTGGTCCCTTATGAGGGACTTCAATGAGATCTTTTCTGAGCATGAGAAGTTTGGTGGTAATGGCCTTAACTCCCGAAGGGTTCAAGCTTATTCTGATTGTGTTAATTACTGTAATTTGGTGGATCTTGGCTTTGTGGGGCCTCAGTTTACCTGGACAAGTGTAAGGAATTGTGGAATTTATATAATGGAAAGGTTAGATCGTGTTTGGGCCAATACTGAATGGAGAACTAAATTTCCCGAAACCGTGGTTCATCATCTTCCCCGCTTCTACTCTGACCATAATCCTCTTCTGTTGGATCTTTCGCCTCGGGCTGCTCCAATTTCTGATAAGCCTTTCAGGTTTCAAACTTGCTGGCTTTCCCATCCTGACTTCAAATCTCTTGTGGAAAGCATCTGGAATAATTTTGATCAACCTCTTTCCGCTCTAATTTCCACTTTCAAGGATGAAGTTTGCAGTTGGAATAAGGATGTCTTTGGCAATGTTTTCAAAAGGAAGAGGATCCTTAGAGCTCGGCTTACAGGCATTGAAAGAAGCCTAGCTAGATTCCCTGACCCTTTTCTGGTGGATCTTCAGAAATCCCTAGTTAAAGACTATCAACTGACTCTTCAACAGGAAGAAGAGATATGGAAACTTAAATCTCGGATTGATTGGGTTGCCCAGGGGGACCGTAACACTAGTTATTTCCACACTTCTACCATTATAAGGAGGAAGAAGAATGCAATTTCTGGCCTCGAGGATAGTTTGGGTAACTGGTCCTTTGATGTCGAGACGATCAAGAGACTTATCCTTAATCACTTTAAGGATCTCTATACTACCAGCCACTACTGCTCCCTTCCTAGTCAGAGTGATACTTGGGTGATCCCTGGCCCTTCTCTTGCCACTGAAACTTATGACATGCTCACGGCAGCTCCCACTAATGGTGAAATTAAAAAGGCACTGTTTGGTATGAAACCGCTTAAGGCTCCAGGACCTGACGGTCTCCACCCTACCTTCTTTCAAAAGTTTTGGAGTACGGTGGGTGACTCCGTTTGTAGGGATATTAAGCTTATTTTCCATTGTGCTGTTATCCCCCAGGATTGGAATAACACCTTAATTTCCCTCATTCCTAAAGTCAACAACCCCGAAACCATTAACCAATTTAGGCCAATTGGCCTATGTAATACCACTTACAGAATTGTGACTAAGATGCTTGTCAACAGAATCGGACCATTACTAGAGGATCTCATTAGTCCTTTCCAGTCCAGCTTCCTTCTTGGAAGAAAAGGTTCTGATAATGCAATCATCATTCAGGAAGCTGTTCATGCTTTTAGTAAGAAAAGGGGCCAAGCCGGTTTCATGATGCTCAAAATCGACCTTGAAAAGGCCTATGACAGATTGGAGTGGAGCTTCATTAGAGAGACTCTTGTGTTCTTTAACTTCCCGGTTCATCTTATTAAGCTCATCATGTCATGTATCTGCTCGGCCAACCTTGCAGTGCTTGTTAATGGTGGCAAGTCCGAAGAGTTTACTCCTTCAAGGGGAATCAGACAGGGAGACCCTTTGTCCCCCTATATCTTCATTCTCTGTCTTGAGTTTCTGTCTCTTACAATTTCCCATAAGATGCAACTCAAACAATGGAAAGGATTCAGAATCTGTAGAGGGGGACCTGTTTTCTCTCACTTGTTTTTTGCGGATGACCTCGTACTCTTTTCCAAAGCTTCAATGGAGAGTTGTGTTCTTATTAAAGAGGTCTTGAACAACTTCTGCAATCTCTCGGGCCAATCTGTTAATTTTCAGAAGTCCAGAATTTACTTCTCGGGTAATACTAACAGGAACCTTAGAGATTGTGTTATTCAGAACCTCGATATGTTGGAAACCGACAGCATTGGGAGATATCTGGGCTATAATATTCAAAATAGAAAACCAAAGAAGGTTGATTGCCAACATATTCTGGAAAAGATTGGGACTAAACTGGCTAGTTGGCAAACCAAATTTCTTACTCCGGCGGCTAGAACCCTTCTAGTCAATTCTGTTATTTCGGCTACTGCTAGTTACTATATGCAGGCCATGAAAATTCCCATGTCTGTGCTCAATGAGATCGATAGAGTTAGCAGAAACTTTATTTGGGGAAGCTCTAATGACAAAAGGAAATTCACAGCGTTAGTTGGGATGTTTTAACTCAGGATAAAAAAGATGGTGGGTTGGGAATTAGATCAGCTGCTCATCTTAATGAAGCTTTTATTTCTAAGCTTGGATGGAATATCATCAATAATGATCAAAACATGTGGGCTGAAACTCTTAAAGCCAAGTATGTGAGAAGATCTACTGCCATCAGTAATCAATCTCCCCTCTGGAAAGCCATCGAAAAAACTGGTTCAGTGTTAGCTAAAGGCACCAGATGGGTTATTAAGGATGGCAACAGAGCCTCCTTGTGGATGGATGACTGGACTGGTCTAGGACCTTTAAAAGAGCTTGTTGTTGGCCCTCTTCATCAGCATGAAGATCGGCTTACTGTTCGCACCATTATTGATGGAGAAGGGGGTTGGGATTTTTCTGTTCTTTCTCTTCAACTCCCCCATCGTGTTTGTCAAGCCATATGGGCTATTCCTATTCAAGCTACTAGTACCGGGCAGGATTGTTTAAGCTGGAAAGGGACTGCTGATGGCAAGTTCACCATCAAAAGTGCCTATCACTTGGCTAGGGGTTCTAATGTTGAAGGTAAATTCAACTGGAAATGGGTTTGGAAAACCCCAACCCATCCTAAAATTCAACATTTTATTTGGTTAACTGCCCATGGGAGACTGGTCACCAGGAGTTATTTAAAGATCATTGGTATCATTAGTGATGACTTGTGTCCCATGTGTAATGAGGGCCCTGAGACCATCCAACACCTCTTCATTGATTGCCCTCACACTGCTAGCGTCTGGAATCAGCTCCATCCCCCTCCTTTGGAACAGTGTACTTGCCCCTATGATTGGCTTAAAGCCAACTGCTCTAATTCCAAATCCTCTTTTCATCTCAAAATCCCTTGGAATGTGGTCTTTGCCATGTTTCTTTGGTACATTTGGAACAGAAGGAATGACAAAGTCTTTAACAAGGACTTTAATACGCAGGAACCTGTTCACAATATTATTGCTCATGCGGCTGAATTTTTTGCCGTTAATGGTTCTATCAAAGCTAATACTTCTGCCATCAGACTTATTGGTTGGAATAAACCTATGTTTGACCATTTCAAGATCAATACTGATGGGGCTTCTAATGGCTACCCGGGTCCCTCTGGTGCAGGAGGGATTGTCAGGGACCATTCTGGTAACTTCATCTCTGCATTTAGCAGAAACTTGGGTGTCACTAACTGCCTTGTTGCTGAATTGTGGGGTATTAGAGATGGCCTCCAGATGGCTATCGATCTCAATCTCCACAACAAAGTCACTCTCGAGGCTGACTCTTTTGTCGCTGTCAACCTCATTAACTCTCCCCCCTCTTGTGCTCATATTACTCCACTATTATTTTTGATTGCAGATGCTTAATGACTACTCTGGGAATGGAGGAACTCAAGCATGTGCATCGTGAGAGGAATAGCTGTGCTGACCTCCTTGCTAAGGCGGGAGTGGATCAAAATTTGGCGTTTATATCTTATGACTCGCTGCCTAGCTTTATTAGCTCTACTTTTTTTGCTGATATTTTGGGGATATGTTATCCCAGAACTTTTAATAGTTCTTTATGTGATGAGGCTGAGACCTCTAACACTATCTCTGAGCACCATGCTCTTTATGGACTGTAAGAACCCCTTTTATTTTCGTTTCGTTAATGCATCTTTTTCACCTAAAAAAAAAACAAATAATCGGCAAAATTTACACATATTAAAATCTTATCTTAATTTTATATATAAGAATAATAATAATATATTGATATAAATTGGTAGAGGAGCCGAATGGCGAATAGGAGGGTCCATGATCCAAGAAATTTAGTTTATAAGCTTTCTTTCTTTATAAAAAATCTCATGTTGTTCGATATCACCATATTCAAATTCTAACTCTTTAAATCCCAATATCCCATCTAATTCAATATTCAAATTCCATATATACAAGATTCCACCCTTTAATTTAGTACATTTCGGCCAAAAAAAATTTAGTACCACATTGTTTCAATTATCCTTATTTTGCTGTCCACCCGTATGTTTTAGGGTTTAGGAAAATTGCTCAGCATCAGTAGTCAGTACACCGTAATATTCACCTTAATCACACACCTATTGGTTCAGGGAATTCAAAACAAAAAAAAAATGAAGCTACATGGAAATCTTAATAAGCTAAAAATGAACTCGAGAACCTTAGGTTAAACCGGATTAAACCCGATTTGATTGCTAAATACTGTCCCATTTTTGCTATTTACCGTCCCAATTTTTACACTTTTGCCCTTTTCCCTTTGCACTTTTTACACTGAGTCTCCCCACTAGGACGGTTCAGCCATGGCGGAGCCGCCCCACTAGGACGGCTAGACAAATTTTTTTTTTAAATAATAATTATTTTTAAAAAAAAAAATAGCCGAGCCGCCCCACGGCAGGCCGCCCCAGTGGGGCGCCTTGAGCCATGGTAAGCCGCCCTCCTGGGGTGGCACGGGTCATCAGTTCTAAATTTCGTCAAAAATTGCATTTTTCTTAAATCGTCATCAAAATACGGCATGTTATCGTTCATTTTTCTTAAATCGTCATCAAAATACAGCACGTTAACGCTATTCTACGTTCGTGATAGTTTCAAGATTAGAAAATGAAGCAAAGGGCAAAAGCGTAAAAAAATGGGACGGTGAATAGCAAAAATGGGACGGTATTTAACAATTCAGTAAAAAAAATCAATAACTCCAATCTAAAATGGCCCGAGTCAGAAATATCTTGCCTCATAAAATAAAATGAATAATATAATTTTTTATTAAAAAAAAAAAGAGCCAGAACCCGAGAGAGGCCTGACCCATACCAAACAAAGCCCAAATCAGGAGTGACGTATCTAACCCGCCCAATTGCCATGTCTACTTGTCTAGGAAAATCAGGAAATTCTATAGAAATCAGGTTGAAGCACAGGGGTGAGACTCCACTAGATCATAAATATATTCAGGGGAATATGAATATCCAGAGTGGAAATGGGGCCATAAAGCAGCAAGCCAGCAATCCTGGCTGTCAGACAAGCACCATGTTCTAACAAAATGCAGAATCAACTTTATAACTGAGCAATACTACTTTTTAAACACACTACTCCAGTATCTTATAATGTGTAATCCCACTGATATTCCAACAAACTTTTCCATTCTTTACACACACAACAACATTTCCATAGATCATCAATACATAAAATGACGGCTGACTTTGGTGATTCTAAATTTACCAAAGAAAAGCTAATAGTATAATTCTTAATTTGAATTTTTAGACATCTTTCTACTAATATTAAACAGTGGTTATCCTATAACATCCATCAAGTTAAGGGTAAAAGGGAAAAAAAAATAGTCAATCAGAAATTTATGGAACCATATTACAAAGCTAACAACCAAGCTAACCATGAACATTTCTTGAAGAAACAATCAGCCATATAAAGGTACCAACTCTATCTGTGTAGCTCTCAGCATTTATACTTGGTAAAATTATGACCACCAACATGAAGTCGAGTACCATGTCAAATTACACGATAAGCAAAAAAAAAATGATATTATACAAGAGAAGACGAATGCAAGACATAGAAATGAGGAAAATGCATATCGTGAGACATAATTGGACATAAAATTCTGAGATTTTAATTGCTTGATAGCAAAGTCTAATTAATGTGAAAAAGAACAAAGTGAACAAAATGGATGGACAATCACCAACTACACAAATAAGGCGTAGACCAGCAGAAAAAACGAAAACATGACCTATATATTATAAATGTGCATGATGCCGACCGCCTTCATCTATCACAAAGTCTCCAACTTCATTTTCTATACCAGTTCCAGAACTCTTCATCTGCAGATAATCGGTGGACACGTAACTTAGTTTTAAGGACCGGATTTATGTTATCAGTATGAAATAGTTGATTCACTAAACCACCTGATAATGATGCCATCCCCTCTGCAGTCCTCAAGCTGTGGATTATAATATGACACAAACGCATTTATTCTGCTTTGGTTGGTTTGTTGCTTTCTTTTCTGCTCATTAATGAAAAATAAAATTGTTACTTTAAAGGGATAAAAAAAAGAAGTTGGGAAAAGGACAATGAAAGTTGGTAGCTGGAAATGTATAGTTGGGTTCAATTTGGTGCTTTACTATTAACAAGAACTTGCCAACAATCAAAATGCACTACTGCTGAGTTAAACTTCTCTAAAGCCAGAGCAATATACTCATCAAGTAACATTTCCATTGACCTAACAAACAGAACCTTAAGTAGCAAGTTTGAATAATTTCAAAGAGAATGGCTTTCCTTTCTTCTTTTTTACCCTTAAAAAAGATACCATATTCAAAATTACTGACGCACACAGACAAAAGGACAAAGGAGAATTATTGCCATTTATGAGAAACTTATTTATGGAATCCCATAGAAATTATTGTACCTTTCTCCAAAGGAGGAGGTTGGACAACTACATGCATAGTTGTCACTCCACCAGGTATATCACAAAGAGGGCTCTGGCACTCTCCCAGTGTTTTGTTGTTCTCCAATATTTTCCCTGCACTTATTAACTTGACATCTTTCACTGTCCTTGGTCCATTCTCCTTCTCTGCACAAAATCCAAAGAACGTAATTACACATTAATTGGAAGAATTTCAATATAACTAAAACAAAATAAAAAGCAGAGAGGTCTGATGACACAGGAATCTAAAAGGGCCTAAAGAGTTATTCAATGCCCTTCAATCAGAGATATAATTAAAATTCCCCCATATACAGTCCAAAATTAACATAAGCAACCTATTCCTCACTAGCTTGCATAGCCTTTTATTTCATACAACCATTTCTTTACTTTACTTTCTCTTTTCCATGTATTACTAAGAAACAATCTAATGCATTTGCCAGTTATTCCCTTTTGTGAAACTACAAGGTAGAGGAAGAGCTTGATAGTAAAAGTTAGATCAAATAAAGCCTTTAGTTGAACTAAATCACTGTAATTTGCAATCAAAACTAACTTCAACACTCCCAACATGCTTATAAAGCATATAAAAATACAGAGAACCTTTCTTCAAAAAAAATACAGAGAACCTTTCTTCAAAAAAAATACAGAGAACCTAAGATTAAGCAGTTAAGAGAATTAGAGGGAGGGGGATAGAGAGGAAAGCAATATCAACAAACTGACAACAGAAGATTATAAAATTTTACCCTATATTTGCCATTCAAATTTAAACTGTTCATCAAAAGTTTTTCACTCAACACTGGTTCCGGGCATCCAACACAGTCACACATTTCCAAAACAAGGGCATAGGATGCTAAACCTTCATAATATGTTGAACTAAATGATAAGAAAGAGCAGCGTTCTCTGATGCTTTTCGAATGATACAAGTTTCTATAAAAAAATCCATTCAACAGCAATTCACATGATATTCGGGAAAAGCCTGCAACATTCTTTAATCATAGTTCATAGCATTTTATTCGGTTCCCTTGAAAAAATTTTACTATTCAGCATCTCATATGGCAATATTAATCAATTTACTGATTGATGAACATCTTCCAGTTAGTTTTTGACTTTTTGTCCTAACTGTGAAGGAAGTAAAGCATAATACATTGATTCTAAATTATATCATAGCTTTCACTCATCTACATATTCAACAACGAATATGTACAAACTTTATAAATCCCAAACAGCCATATCCTGATCCCATCCTTCTACTTCAATCAAACCATAAGAAACAATGAAACAGTAACCAAAAAAAAGCAATCAGATGAAGAGCAGACATAAAAATTTAATAAACCAGAACATTTGTCAGCATTATTACATTTGGATTTAATCAAACAGCACACTAACCTTTAGGCCATTGAGCAAGAACACTTTCCTTCAAGGTTGCAACACTAGTAGCAGCAGGAAAGGCTTTAGGACCAATATCTGATCCATCAGTCAATCGAAACTTAATTTCCAACTGATCCTGGACCCCAGCCATCTCCAAAAACCTTACACACTTCAAAATCTGAATTCCCCCAAGATCTTTACTTGGGACTTCTCCTCAACTGTGTACAAAATCCTCAGTCCGGGTTGCTTTAAAAAGACCAAGAGTCTTCTCAAAAACTTGATTGCACCTTTGAGATAATCAAAATTCAAAACCCCTAATGAATTCCCAACCGGAAATCCTGCAAAATTGACATAAAAAAAAAAGGAGAGAGAAAGAGCGAAATTGAATTACTTGACTCATATATATATTAGAAAGAAATATGCAGTCAATCTAAATTAGGAAAACAAGTGTATATAAGGCAACAACTTTAAGAGTAGAGATTTGCATAACTATTTCTGAGTAACCCAAATTGGGTAAATCCAAAAATAGAATATAAAATCCCAAAAAACCAACAACCAGTGAAGATACACATATAAA